CTACCTTTTAAGACTGACTTTCCCAAAAAGTGGTATAACAATTCCCAAGCTGAGTGCTTTATATCACATGGACTGACATACTGTAACCCTCACCTCTTCACAGTTTTCCCTAGATCACAAATGCCCCTTGTATGCTTTCATGCTTTTCAGAAATGTTTAAAATTTGTTCATTATGACTGCCTTGCATTACTTATTTCCCCAGTCTAGTCCATTTGGATGTATATTGCTGTCAACACTCAGATTAAGATCATCTCCTATCATTCTATCTATTGAACACATTCCAGAGTCTTGTTACACAATTCATTGCAGCCTTGGACCCTGTTTGCCACTCTTTTTTCTCCTGGTATACCTTCATGTCTGTGGCTCAGTCCTTTGTTCAGCCTGTTTCTGACTGGATAATTGTCCTGTCTTCCCCCTACCAAAAGGATGCCTTACCCCCATCTCAGCCTATACTAGTTACTTTTCTCACCACTCTGACCAAAATACCTGAGAAAACAACTTAAAGGAAAGAAAGATTTATTTTGTTAATGGTTTCAGAGGATTCATGGTTACATGAATCCATGCACTTGGTTCCATGCGCTTGGGCAGAATATCATGGCTGTCAGAGTAGGTGGTAAAGAAGTTCTTCACTTCATGGTGAACAAGAAGCAGGGAGAGAAAATAACCATAAACTAGCTAAAACCTTCAAAGGCATGTTCCCAGTGACTCACTTACTCTAGCTAGGCCTTACCTCTCAAAATTTTGGCCGCTTTCCAAAATAATGCCACCAGCTGGGTACCAAACATTCAAAGCATACACTTGTGGGGGACATTTCATATTCAAACAATAACACAGTCTAAAAAAAATGAGACTTCTTTTATAATCTGTAACAATGGCTTTCAAACCTTTAATATTATCAGTAACAAAATTAGGCATACATTTTATACTTTAATAAGTATACACATGCACACATACAGTTATACATACTATTTATGATAAAAGTTAAGTTATTCTTATGGTCACTAGGTGTAATATTCTCTGTGTTTTCTAATCTAGTCTTGTATCTCTTTTCTTAATGCTCTTGTGACCTGTTAAATTGACTTCATGATCCTCTGTTGGATCATGACCCACAATTAAAAAAAATTGCTTGCATTGCCAGCATATTTAATTTTTATGTACATTTTAACCTCCTTTCTTTCTAATAGCCTCTTCATTTGTTATATTCAGAACATTCTACACTTCTAATTTCTTTGTAAATATCAGAATCTTTGTCTTGTGAGAGCTTTTGCACTTCTTTCCTAATATATTCTTCTTCCCATTTTCCATAGAGCTGACTCTATTCATCTTTTAGTTTCAACCTGAATATCTGTCTTTCAGGGTAACATTTCTTGACTACCTATCTAATGTGTCCCCTTCCATTTACTCTTTATTTTTTCCTTTCATACTACCTAAGAAAATTTCTAATTGTCTAATTTCTTTTCTTATTTTTGCCTGCTTATACCTTATAATGGTAGAGGTAATATTTATTTTGCTACTATAGATGCTTAGTAAATATTTGTTAAATGAATGTGTATAGAGTAACTTTAAAACAGTAAAACAAGATATTACAGTGATTACCTTACTGTATTCTATGCTCACAGTACAATTTATGGTATGAAACTTACAAGCTGTTTTATTTCCTTAAGTTATCACTTTTATTCCTTTGCTTGATTTTACAATGACAAGCTTATTGGTAGAAGCACATTCAAAACATTGGTAAAATATAAAACACATAATTTAGAGATGTATATTTGGACTTGTAGATAAAACACTAGAAGCTTTTAAAACAGTAAAGATAGTTACAGCTAAGGTAAATTGGCACAGTCATTCAAGTGAGTAAGCAAAGAATATTTGGGGTCATGCTCAGCTAAGGTATATGTAAAAGCATGATGAGATGCAAACAGCACTAATTTGCTGAATTAAATGGACTAGAGTCCTGACATTTACATAGTACCTTGTAATAGAGTTAGCTCTGAAGAAGTTTCTGTCAGCAAGTATAGAAATATGTGTTTATATTCATTACTGGATACATGTGAAGAATAATAGAAAGACTTCTCTTCTGCTGTAGAAATAATATGACACACTGTTTTTATGACTGTGGCAATCAATACAGAACAAACAAAATGAACACAGTAGCATCTTTTTTTAAGTGTGCACAAAATTGCTAGAAAATTTAGCTATTTCTGGAATGTACAATTCAGAAACAGTTAGCTGATTTCAAGATGATTTGCCAAAAATTGAGTAATTTTCTTGAACATATGTTTAAGAAATTTCTGGTGAAAATAGTGTGCAAGTAGTAACTCATGAAGGTTGTATTCAGTATATGCAATATGAAAAACATGCCAATCTCAGGTTTAAAAATTAAAGAGTCATTATTTCTAGTACCTAAGAAAAAACTATTTGCTTTTGCTGTTGGTACTTCTCTTTAAAAATAATTCATTCAGTATTTATTAAGGAGCTTAAAATATTAGAAATGGGAACTCTGCATTGATTGTGTATGATGCTAGCTCTTGCTCTAGGGATACCAACAGATGGGTTAATGCTTGTTTTCTTGACTTAAAAAAATGGCTAAGGATATTATGGTCTGCTTCTATTTTTCAACCCAGTATTTATAAAGTTTCCTCCATTACTCATTGCAAGTATATTTCTATCAAAGCTAAATTCAGATAATTAATGACACTTTATTTCCTAATATAATTGTGTCCTTTATTGCCCTTTAAAAATCATCTTTACCCCACAGTGTATTTTATGCAGTAGGTGAGTATTATTCACAGTCCCATGGGGTATGATTGATTAATAAAGTAATGGTAATAGTTTTTATTATTAGGCATGCTCTTTTATAGTTTTCTCCCTTCTCTTGTTCTTTGCACATTTTTTAGCTCATGAATCATACTCATCTACAAGGAAGTTTGGAAACTTAAATAACTTGCTTTTTCTACCATCTTTTCATACTAACTTGACGGTTATATAGATTTTATATGTGTATCTGTGGTGAATTTGTGTTACCGTTGTTCACGGAGAGCTAATTATATAAAAAGGGCATGCGTTAAGACAGTGATGCAAACTTCTCAGGATTTTTCTCTAATGCTGAGGTAATGACTTTCATGGTCAAAGAACTTCTAAAATTCAAGTATGTGCTACTAAGTGTCCTTTGTCATGGCTTGGCCCTTTCTGTTGTTCTTCTTTACCATTGTAAATATATTATCAACAGGTCCCATCCTGGGTAAGAAGAAAGAGTAGTACAGCAGTAGTAAACAGTGAGCTAATGGGTAAGGAAAACCTAAATAGCAACAGAAAGTTAATATGTCCCCTATACTACCTGTTAGTCTATATCTTAGTAGTTGTTCAAAGATAACATGGATATACATAAAATATTAAGTTATTTTTATGTGATGTAATGGTTGAGAGCATGAACTAAAATTTTAAATCCATGGTTCACAAGCTCTGTGCTTTGGACACATCTTAGACCAATCCAAGCTTCAATTATTCAGCTTGTATATAAAATAGAAATCAAAATGGTGTCTACCTCAAAGAGCATTCATAAAGATTAAATGAGTTAATATGTGAAAAAGTACATAGAATAGAATCTGTTGCATGGTAAATGTTCAATAAATATGTGATATCATTAGCTATTATTAATATTTTTATTTGGAAAATCTACTTAGTACTAAAGGGCATTCTCTTTTTTATTAGGATATATTCTTTTTACAGGGAGGATTCATTATGACAGTTCTGAATAGGCTTTCATTATACGTAGGTTAAATTGCCCCCTCTATTAGAGGGCATTCTTAATCATTCTGCTTGTGCTTTGACAAAGAGCCAGTACCATGTCCTGCATCTGTCAAAGTATTTATTTTCCCATATCTATGTGTACAGTTTATTTGAGTATACTTAAATAGCAACATCACATTTTGTTATTTCAGTGGACATAATTTAAAGTAGCCTAATTTCTCTTTTTGTTTATATGTGTTATCATACACATACTAGGGAATAGCTGAAAACATGCACACCAGATAGTCAGTAGTAGTTGCCTCTGGGATGTGGAGTTAGAATAGCAAGAGCTGGGAATTTTAATTTGGTATTTGAATTCTTAATATATAAGCACGTTGTATTTTTGTGTCTGTATTTTTACATTTCTGTATATTTTTGTAATTCCTTGTGTACTTGTATTACAAAATGAAAACCAAAAACAAAAGTCACCTTAAATGTTAGTTGTAGTCAATTGAAAGTAAAAAGTAAATTGGATGAGCTTAATCAGAACAGAAAAAGAGGGAAAGGGCAACATGGAGTGGTCAATGATGTCATATTGCATATAAATTTAAAAAAAAGATGAGGTCTGACTAGAGCCTTTTAGTGTGATATTTAGATTTGGTCACAAGTGACCTTATTAAAATCAGTTTCAATGAAAGGCTAAGGGCAGAAGCTTGACCTTAGTTATTAGAAAGTAGAAAGTGAGAACATACAGAGTAGGGCATAGTCCTCTCATAAAGGAGAAGTGTAAGGAATGTGAAGGGAGGGACTAGAGGGTTTACTTGTAAGTAAACTGGTTTTACTCAAGATCCTTATGATAGTAAGAAAGTGATCAGCATTCACAGAAGTTTATTGCGAGTCACTCAGGAATGTGAAAGTAGCCTGAACTGTTAACTTGACAGCCTCCCAGGTATTACAGATCTGTTTTTCTAAAACTCAGATTTACGACATGTTTTATAAGGAAGTGAAGAAGTTGCTTAGCAAGGTTTCTTGGAGGGAAGCAACCTAAGCTTGTTTATGTGCTAGAGAACAAGTTGAGGTATTTAATAAAGAATGTACCTTTAATTTGGAAAGTAAATCTAACTATTTCTAGGAATGAGGTTTCATTCAAAAATACTAAACTTGCCATGTTCCAAAGAGTAAGCTAAAAAGTATACTCATATTAGAACAAAACTTAATCTGATAATATAAATAAGTTAGTAAATTTCTCCCTTTTTTTCTCTCTTCTAAAGCCGAACAACAACTTATCCTTACACAGAAACACAGATGTACAGCCAAAACACTGGAGGGAATTACTTTGATACTCAAGGGAGTTCCGCACAGGTGACAACCGTGGTTTCCTCCCATAGTATGGTGGGCACTGGTGGAATTCAGATGGGCGTCACAGGGGGACAAATCATCAGCAACTCTGGAGGAGCCTATCTGATCGGCAATTCCATGGAGAATTCTGGGCATTCAGTGACACACACAACTCGGGCCTCCCCAGCGACAGTAAGTATTTGAGGTTTTATTTGTTTAATTTAGCTTCTTGTAGTTTGTCATGTACCTTTTTCCTCCTCTACGGAGAGAAAAGAGCCTCGAAGGCTAGATTGGAGTACCAAATGCTTTTAAGCAATTTAGCTTTATGATTGATATGCAGAATGTAGCATTTGTAGTGTTGTTTAGAATGTTTCTAATATGTTTGCTCTCCAATGAAGTGAAGTAGGAAATTTTCATTAGTAAGGTTAATTAGAAAAAATGAATTTTACTCAGAAAACTGCTGAATTTACTACTTTCTTCAGTGATACTCATTAAAATACTTCAAATTATTACTCAAAGAATTCAGTTTTACATTATACTTATAAGATAAAATTCAATCAGTAAAATAGAGAAGAAAATATAGTTTAATTTGGAATTTGTGCATCTTTCAGCAGTAGTCTTTATGCCAGCACATGCCCAGAGAAGATATGTAGGGAAGGACTTCCCAAACCATAGACACTTAAGTTTTGCCATATTCACATGCAACCTTTATTATTATTTACTTAGTATTGTTGAAACTGACTCACTTTTAAAGTAGAATACCGTATGTAGTTTATTTCTCATACATATTCAAACTGGTACTTAATAAAAATGTTTATTCATGTCCCATAAGTCGTGTTGCATTCTACCACAGAGACACTTTGAGATTCAGGTAATTCTGATGAAAAATACTTGTATCGATTTTGAATATAGCTGTGATCAAATAATATGTTGGGGGTATATCTTTATACTTCAGTTTCCAAACTTTTAAATATAATGTTTATTTTGACACAGTATTTTTAAAATGTGTTGAAATTATCATAGAAATAATCATAGAAAGTTATGTAGAATTTGTTATCATCAAACTCTGCAACCTGAACTTCTCCCTTTTTTTTTAATTCATCTCAAATAAGGATATAAGGGAGAATGATCATTTAAGACTAAGTAGCACCAGAGTTGATATTCTAGTTGTTTCATATTAAAGGGTACTGAGGATTTGAATTAAATAGATGCACCACTTTCTTACTATCTTCTCATAGAGTTTGTTATTGAAATTAAATAAGTTAGAAGTAAATTTGGGAGAAAATATAAACATGAAAGGTTTGTATTTCTCATTGTATGGGTTTTCTTCAAGATGTTATATGTGCTTGGTAAGTACTTAGCATGTATTTTGTGTATTTGTAATGATCACATGTGTTCATACTTTCATCATTTAATGACTTTTCCCTAATTATTTTTTTAAAGCCCTCTATTTTTAATTCACTATTTATTAATAACATTAGAGCAAATGACCAGCTGTTCTGAGTGGAGAATTCTTTCTTAACTTTTTTCTCTGTATTTTATAAGAATTTTTATGTGTATTTGTCTCTTCTTTTAATAGTAATAAGCACAGTATTTCTAAACCTTTTAGTTACACTTGTATGTTTATGTAGATTAGAAACTAAAGGGAATTACCACTAATAAATCCCAGCCTCTTTGGACCTCAGTTCCCCTATCAGTAAAATAATGGGTTAGACTAAATGATTTATGATTTTCTCTTAAATTTAAAATCTTAATATTTTAAATAGAATAAAAATATCATAGATCTAAAATAACTTCATATTGTAGGTATAAAGTTTCAGTACTTTATAGTACTCCTAAAAAAGGCCATTTTAAAAGACCCACTCAGTGGAAAGGAAAAGACCTGCTGCTTATCAAGGACTTAGGAAAACTAAAATGCAGAGTGAACATGTCCACTCCCACTATTGTTTCATCTACCCTCTCTCATATTGACAAACCCACATACCATCCTTCTGACCCCATCCTTTCCCACTTTTTCTATAGCCATTACCACTTGCCTTCACACTGATTTTAGCTACCTTAATATCCTCAGCAACTGGATTTAGGTTTACAGATGTACTGGTTCTATCACTCAGTTAACTAAATTGTATATTCCAGGTCATGTAAGTACAGTTGCAAACATTAACAGATTAAATTTTATAAGGTCTTTTGTTTTGTTTTGTTTTTGATAAGGGATTCCCTTTGGTTTTCTATATAAGGAATGAAAGGTAGCATTACTCCTTAAATTATGCATTACACAATTTGATGTATGGTTTTTATTAAATGGTAAATTAGACAATAAGCTAGCTGAATTACAGCAACTGAGAATAGTTGAAAACTATTAAAACACCAATTATACACATTAATTTACATTTAAAATTTTCTTATTTCAGGTTATTTTATTAAATATGAAAACTCCAAAATGGTTTTTAAATATTTTGTACAAAAATGTTTTCTTTTTTAACAAAAGGAGTATAAAACTTGAATAAAAAGTAACTTCTATTACAAAGTGCCATTGTCAAAGTGCTTGTAGTAGTGCACACTCATCTAAGTGTACCTCCACTAGTAGTTATTGTATTACCTTGTATTTATTATCCAGCCATATATTTGATTTATATTCCCCTTTCAGTCATGCAGAAGATTTTCATTGATTTAATTCACGGTGAGATTGTGATTCTCAGCTTACAATTTCACGTTACTGTAGTAGACTTGACAAAATTAAGTGATAGGACCTATTTAAGATTTCCTACCATTGTATTCTTAACGATGTCAGAAAACTGGTAAGTTTTTGGTATTTTTGACTCTTAGAAATCAAGATTCTTTTTATTGAAGGTGCGAGGTCACTGAATGCTTGATTTCATGCATCTTTTTCATTACTATAGAACCATACAAAAGAATTTATATGAGCACAGTCTTCAACAACTTGTTGTTCAAGTCTTAAGCCATTTCTTTTCAAATCCTGAACCAAACTATGCCATATAAGTTTAGTTTCTCTGTCTAATTTTATTGTTCAACTTATGATCAATAGCATGGCTAATACAACTGACTGTAAGAGTAACCTATATTGCGGCCAAATTCCAAGCTGGAAAAAAATAAGACAGCCCCCTATATCTTCAGGTTCTGCATCTAGGATTCAATTAGCCTCACCTAGAATATACTTGGAAAAATATTTGTAGTGAACATGTGAAAACTTTTTTTCTTGCCATTATTATTTTCAGATAATTTACATTGGGTTAGATATAAGAAATTTATAGATGACTTAAAATATAGAGATGAAATCCATAGATTATATATAACTACTATGCCATTTTATATAAGGGACTTCTTATATCCAAGGGAATTTCTGGAACCAATCCCTATGGATACCAAGGGACAACTACACTCAACTGGACTGTTCCTTTAGTAGTGGAATGTTCAGGATATAATGGAATGTACAGTTTTAACTCAGTTGATGTAAACTAGTTAAGTTTGGATACTTGGGAATAGCAACTGATCATCTTTACTTAGTTCCTGGATAGCAAAGTTTCCTGCTTTGGTTCTCAGAATAGTTGCATTGACTCCCTTTTACATTTGACCTGTGCCTACACAGCAACACTTTCATTTGAGTTATTAGGAAAAGTTTACATTAATGTGCAAATAGTTTCTCAAGTTATGTTTATAGCCACTATTAAAAAAATAAAAGATTACCATTTGATTTTCTTACCTCGTCTAGTGTTCATTTTATAAATTTAGAACTATCTTTTACTTTGTTGTAACTATCTGAATCATTAGTAAAATTTTTGTTGAGCTTCTGATTCACTTTAGTTTAATAACATTAAATGACAAAAATATTTTTATAAAGATATTTTAATATTTCATTTTTGGCTAAGTGTCCCAAATGTTTGGACTGGGTTGAACTCAGTGCCTTATGCTTTCTAAGGAGGCATTCTACTATTTGAACCACTTTGCCATCCCTGAAATTTTTCTTCTAAAGGTACATAGAAAAGTCAGCATTTGTCAGAAGATTAGAATGGTAACAAATTAAATTTTATATGATGAATATAGTATGGTACAAGGTAAGAATATTCAAACTTGGTCAAAATACTATTATTGTTCCTTTTTCTTAATGTGTTCTTTTCTTTGGTCAATAGGAGTCCATGTCTTTATTGATTATGTACATGTATGAATATGGGTACATATATGTTCTTATTTAAATGTAAACATATATGTACTGTTAAAAGGCATTTCCTGATCATAGTGTTAAATAAGAATTTAAAAAACATATAACATTTTGTTGAATCATCACTGATATGAGTTCAGCTGAGTTGCAAGTTGAACAAATGTTTTAGATTTCATTAAGTTAATGTTAGGAATCTGCTGTTACTACTTCAGTAGTACCTTCTTTCTGACTACTCACCATAATGTTTTTCTCCATGTTTTTATTTATTTGAAACTAATGTGTTTTTCTTGATTATTTTTCTGTATAATCATATCATAGAATATTAGAATTTTGGAACCTGAACATAATTTGTACTTGAATAGCAAAACTTTTTGAATGTCAGTAGTGATATTTTTATGCTCATCATTACATGGTTTATTTTATACAATTATATCCCGTAGTTTGCAATATACTTTAAGAAGTTTTATTTAATCCTCCTTTAAGTAGTATTTGTATTCTTATAATCAGACAGTCATTTATAGATTTTTAGTTTTGATAACTGAATAAGAAAGATCACTTAGGCATTTTTTTAGATTGTGATATGGAAGCTAATTTTAACACCTTTATGTATGTATACTTAATAATAATTGCATATGTTAAAGGACTTTTTCTCAAATTGGATTCTACCAAAAGGTAGAAGGAAAATGTGTTAAAAGTAATATTATTCTTAACTATTTTGATTAATGTAAAATATTATAATGTATTTTAATTACATAGAGGAAAATTTCAATATCCCTCTGCTCCCATATAAGTAAAATTTAACTTAGTTTGTATAAGTAATGGAAAGACAAGAATTCATTTGAGAACTGTAGGTTGTATGATTTCTTTATCCTCAGGTTTACATTTATGAATTTTGTGTGAAAGAATGCTTTTTTTCTAAAAAGATACATATGTTTAGCTTCCCAGAAAATGATTTTGCTTCTTACTCCTTTGCTGATAAGGTATGGTGACTATTTGTTTTATTTTAAAATTTCTG